TCGCCACCATAAAGAGAGAAATTTTCTAGATAAATAAAATAAAGGCTGGATTCTTGATGCAGGACAGCAGGTGAGATTACTGGTAAAAACTTGAATACAGAGGGTTCTTGGGAGCTGCACAACAGATAAGCTATAGCAACAAGCAAACGATTGCTTGCTCCTAGGAGATTTTATAGGTCTCCTCAAGATGAGGAATCACCTTTTCCTAACAAAAACCGTTCTAGGAAAAGGGACACTTAAAATGTAGATGTTATTCCAATGAAGGGCCCAGTTATTAAAATCCTTTATTCACCTGAATAGGAAGCAAGCCTCTCCCCACCCCTCCAAGTTTAGCAGACCAAAATAATCTCTTTAGGGCTCCTGTTCTACTATTTCCAGGGAATTCAGGCTCCCAGAATCATCAGAGTCTCTGAAATCTTGCAGAATTTCCATGCACAGGGAGGCACTCAATTCCCATGTCCACATTATTATTATTTTGCATGTTTCTGGGTCCTCCCCCCCCAAAAAATAAATGGCTAATTCAAATTAACAGACCAAGTACTATACAACCTCTGATTCCCCTGGTGGACTCCGACCCCCTCCTCCCACAATTTTTGCAAAACTGTGTTATTTGGCTTGTCGTTTTTTTCTTTGGGTGCTAACAAGCCCTGCCATGTTTGCAAACAATTTACTTTCATATGTTCTCAGTAACTTATTTCACTCAGAGAACCTGTCAGAAGTAGAAGCAACGTTGTTTACTCCCACTTTCTTTCGAAAACAGTAGGCTGGGCATTTTCCCCTAGTCTTTTTCTTTCTTTCTTTTTTTTTTTTTTTTTTGAGGCTGCCTTGACTTTTAGTATCGTAGGCAACTTTTGGGGAAATGCCTTGCCAGTACCAACTTCCTTGGGCTGAGAGATCGTCAAAGTCACCCAACTGAATTCCACAAAAAAAAAAAAAAAGGCAAAACTGGAACTCATAATTTTTAGCCTGGTACCAACTGGCTGTCTATAAAAATTGGTTAGCCCTTCCTTTTCTTGGCTTGGCTTTAAAAGAAAGAAAGGAAAAAAGAGCAGACATTTGACAACAGACGGCTGCTCCTTTTGCAGTGGCAAGGAGTTCCAAATGCACACACGGAATTAGATCTTAAAGCCTCACAACGTGTTTGTCAAATTTCGTCCCTTTTGTCTGAAGTACTCTCCAAACGCATTACTAAAAACTAGAATAATCAACCAATGTTTTTTTTAAACTGTATAAAATTCCCAAGCACTACCTGATCCACACTAGGAAATTAAAAGCACCTTTCTAATCCCTAGATGTTCCTAACTGGCCAAGTCAACCCATAACTGAACTCCAGGGTAACATGGATAATAGGGTCTAACCGGTGTCAGTCATGGATAGCCAACCTAGAGTGTCTCCAGAAGAATCAGCTGATCTTTAAAAGCAGCCACTTCTTCAGTTGGCTGCTCTTTCTTTCTCTGAATAGCTTCTAATTGCGCCAAAACATTATAAAGATCAGTGGAAAAAACTCATCGACCGTCATCTGCTTCTTCTTGTCTCCCACTCCCCCAAACTGCGGGTGTTTAAGCATTGCATTGGTTTGGAAAGATGGAGACTGTTGACTGAGATTTGACCTTTGGAATTCTGCTGGTTTGTCAGTTGAGGAGTGGGAGTTGGAATGTCCAGTGACAGTTGAAAACGGATGTTTTGGAGGAGAAAGGAAGAGACGCTGTCATTTGGCACTGGAGATGGTGAGAGACAGCTGCTACTATCTATCTGTCATCACCAATTGAGGAGATTTGGGGTTTTACTTCAAATATAATTCCACTGCTTTTGCATAAGCTACCTGTTACACTGATACCAGTTCATTCAAGCCACACTACACTTAAAATTGAAAATCAAAATAAAATCATTTATTTAGTGTATGGCCAAGAATACATGGATATCAGTAGTAAAACTTTATAAAAGATTATGTTACACATATGATGGAAATGTGTAGTCAGTTTCGTAAGGTATGAGGAATTCAAAAGAATTAAGTTATACAACTATCACAGGTATTCTGTTTATCCAAGAAGTTGTTCTTGGCCTTTCTGCAATGTCATATCTTGTCTATTATTAGGTATTGCATACACATGCATTACGTTAATGAAAACAAACTATTCTTATCTGGATTTTTAGGCTGTATTATTAGTATATTAATGCGAAGGAAATCAGCATTTTTAACATGGAAGTTAAAAACTCTTCTCTATCTATAAGAGAGCATGTTTTTCTTTCAACTAAAGTCATTTCTTTAGGCATGCAAGAACCAGCTTTTTCAGCAACTACACAACAGAAAGTGTGTTATTCTGAAAGTCCTGAACATACTTGCAACTATCACAAAAGATACTAACTTAGCTGGGGAAAACTGGTATAACCCAAACATTTGTCACCTGAGGAGTTTTATCTAGAATCAATGTTTTTTTCTATTGTTCAAACTTCACATGCAATAAGTGCATTTTATTGTTTGATCCAGAAGTGCTATTCAGCTGGTCCGCACCTACTTGGGCGAATTGGTAGCAAGAATTTGGCGTGGGTCACCGAACCGGTAGCAACATCTAGCTGGCCCCGCCCACCCAATGCTGGCTGCCCCAGTTTAAAGGAGGACTGCTCCCCCGCCCTAGCCATGCATTTTCAAGCAGCCAGTTGAAAACACATGACTGTGGGCAGAGCAGCAGTCCATTAACCTGCAAAACTGCTCCAAGGCTGGATTCTTCATGGACACTAGAAGTATCGCTTCCCCTTGTGAGTAAAGTGCCTGGAGTGAGAGGGAAGGAATGCTGGGGGAGGCGGGCAAAATCCAGCCATGGGGGAGTTTGCAGGAGCTTCAAGTGCAAGTCCCTTTACCTGCAGAACTTCTCTAAAGCTGGATTCACTTCCCCTTGTGAGAAAGAAAGAAAGAAAGAAAGAAAGAAAGAAAGAAAGAAAGAAAGAAAGAAAGAAAGAAAGAAAGGGAGAGAGAGAGAGAATGGTGTATGTGTGTGTGTGAGAGAAAAAGAAATGAAGGGAGAGAAAGACAGAAAGAGACAAAGAAAGAAAGAAAAATAAATAGGAAGGGAGAGAGAAAGACAGAGAAAACTGTCCTATTATTTTTAATTGTTCCATTATTTATCATGTGTTAATATTTTACACTGTCCCTACACCTAGAGTGATTCTACTGCCTTTCTTTTTCCCAGGGCTACCACATATTTTTCAGGGTTTATATGCATTCAATGTCTATAATCCAGAGCATGAATAATACATGTGTGTTTAACATATTTGAAAGAGGGTTTGGAGATCTTATAGTCCAAGCCCCTGCTCAGGCAGGAAAACTGAGGATGCCAAACTCTGAGCAGAGGTCCCGGGAAAGGTGTCAGAATAACACTTAGAAGGTTCCCCTGACAAGAATAGCAAGAATGTTCAAGAATAAATCCGAAAAATGTTGGAAATGTCATCAGACACCTGGCTCATATTACCATATGTGGTGGACTTGTGCGGATGCTAAAAAATACTGGACTAAAATCCACATGTGGTTGGAAAAAATGACAAAAAACATATTGACTTGAAACCAGAGATATTTTTATTGGGAATTTTACCTGAAATATATAGTAAAGACTTGAAATACCTGATTGTAAATGTATTAACAGTGGCTAGGATTGTATTTGCTAAAAACTGGAAAAATGAGAAGATACCATCACAGGAGGAAATCATTAAGAAAATATTGGAATGTGCTGAAATGAGTAGATTGACATTTGAAATTAGAGAACAAGATGATAAACAATTTTATAAAATTTGGGATCTATTCTATCAATGGTTAGATACAGTAATGAAATATGTAGACTTTTAGAAAATAATAAATATATAAAGGTGTACTTCTTTCTTATTATATCTACAAAATGATTTTAGGATAGATTTGGGATGATAATATGAACTGTTATAAAATAAACTAAGTAAATTATGATTATCTTGTAAAACATGAATGAATTAAAGTATAGTCAAATGATTGATTAATAATGATACCAAGGTACTTAATTTTTGATTGAAAATATGAGATTATATGCAATGCAATTGTAATTGAAGACTACGAAATGGAAGCACAAAACAATTTGTAAACCAACTGGGACACTATATGTACACCTATGGAAGATAGCTTGATGTTTTTATGTTTTGTTTGTTTATGTTTGTTTTTAAAAACTAATAAAAATTTATTTAAAAAAATAACACTTAGAAGGGACTTTTGGGGGAACCCTATACCATTTCAGAGAAATGGCTGTCCAGTCTTTTAAAAATTTCCAGTGATTGAGCACCCAGAACTTCTGGGGACAAGCAGGTCCACTGGTTAATTGTTTTCACTGTCAGAAAGTTTTAGGTTGCTTCTCTCTTTGTTCAGTTTCCATCCATTGCTTCTTGTTTGCCTCCTGGTGCTTTGGAAAATACACCCCCCACCCATTTCTTTGTGGCAGCCCCTTAAAAACCTGTTCCCTATATCACACTCTTGAGTAAAGCATGTGAGCCATTTCCTCCTTTCAGTGGTCCATGAAAGTACATCTATAGTATGCAGTTAATAAACTTAAAAAAGGTGAACAACATTTTTTACAGAACTATAGATAAGTTGAGGCTGGGTGACAAGGAATCGCTGGGAGGGGAGGGGCCAGGTGAGGCACCCCTTGATGTGAGTGACATTGAGTTGGCCATGCCTACCCAGTCACATGACCACCAAGCCACGCCCACCAAATAAGCCACACCCACAGAACCGGTAGTAAAAAAAATTGAATTCCACCACTGGTTTGATCATTTACTTACTGATGTACAACAGATACTGAATGTATCATTTGTTGCTGTAACCCATTAAAAAACTTGGCACACCCCCTACACCTTAATAAATGCTTCTTATACTTTTCCAGAATTACTTAGCGATTCACCCCATCAGCTCCACACACACTTGAGATGCCTGAGTTTTGAAGCAATAATTCTATTTTGTTCTTGTTTCAGCAAACTTAGTCACCGACATGATTGATAATCTAAGTTTTTTGCAAATCAGAGGTGTTGCAGATCCTTTGCCCACGAAGTAGGTGGTTCAGATTTCTGGCTTCCAGTTATGTGAACTTTTATTGGCATTCTAAGTTGGACTTATGTTTAATATTTAAATAAATACTGTTCAGTTTGTAGCATGTAGAAACAAATACTAAATTATGTTAATGGGGGATAACTTAACTTTTGATAGTCATAAAATATCTGACATTTGGCTACATCCCATGAAGTTCTGTAACTGCTAACATAACACCATGCTTTTCTCTTGACTATTTGCTAGCTGACTGGTATTTTAACAATATATTTATGCTTTTAAAAAATTGTTCCTTATAAGCGACTTAAATATTTTTAGCATATGTTATTTTTCAGACATTTGAATACAGAAAAGCAATATTTATTTTTGTACTTGTAAATCATTTACCCACCTATATAGTGAGATGGGTAGTGTATACATTTGATAAATACATAAATCAATGTTGCTAAAAAAATAGATGGGAAAGAAATTTACTTAAAAAGGAATGAATAGTAAAAATTGTTTGCACATCTTGATTATTCATGCTTTAATATGCAACGGTCTGCATAACCGTATAAATATATGATGAAATATTTTCTTTTGATTTGATTTTAGGAGTTCTGCATTAATCTACAAGAGCAATAAATCACTTAACCAGCAACTACCAAGTGAAAAAGAATCAATAATTACAAAATGGTTATCCTGGATTAATAAGGCCCAATTAGGTGGTTATTTCCTGGGTATTTTGGGATCTATTATGTGCATTACTTCAACAGCCAATGAACGTTGGAGAATATGGCATGTAGAAAGTGAGGATGGCCTATATCCTGGCGTGGTGTGGGTTGGAATCTGGAGGGCCTGTTATCTGCACAGCACTCATCCAGAAAACAGATACATCCACTGTGAGGAATTCACCGAAAACATGTTGCTGCTGCCTAAAGAAATATTTTTGGCTCAAGATCTGATGACCTTGAGTTGCATTGTAGGAGCTGTGGCCATAACCATCATGAGCTTTGCTTTAGGGATTATTGTCAAAGACATCGGACAAAAAAAAAATTTGTTCACCTTGTTTAGTGTTGGAGGTCTGCTAAACTTTCTAGCAGGAATCCTGGTCTTAATTCCAATTTTCTGGAATCTGCATTCCATTTTGGAGAACAGAAATGTTAAGTTTCCAGAGTCCTTCAAAATGCCTACAATTCCAAAGTACCAGGAGGTTGGTGCGGCTATTTATGTTGGCTATAGTGCTATCATTTTATTCCTGGCGAGTGGTGCTTTGATTATCTGTAACAGAAGTGTTTTGCAAGTACATGCAACAAATGATGTTTCACCCTCAGCAGATATACCACTGACACCTCAATTTAGCTCAAACTTTGGTTCCTCAGTGATAATTAATGTAACAAACAGAGATGAGCCTTTGTCCAGTGAGGATGAGTTATCATCTTTATATTATGTAGATATAAATAAAGATACATCACACTCAATTCAACCTCAACTGCTTGATAACACTAAGAACATCCCTGTTATATCAGTTACTTCATGCCAGTAAGGACAAATTGCTAATGTTTGTCTATTCTATTGTATCATATTTCCAGTATTCATTTTACAATGGCAAAATAATTCATTTCTCAATGTAAATAAATGCTATGAATTATAAATACTACAAATAAATAAATACTGGATGCTGGATTACTAAAAAGGTTGTCTTCTTTTCCCACTTCCAAACCTTCATCCCAGGATAAAAGATTTCAACATTTTAGAAACTTGCACATTTATGTGTTGTCTGAATTGGTCCAAATAAATGTTACACTATTGTAGATTTTAATTGTAACAAATATGACTTAACTTTGCTCTTTTGAAATGTATCAACTCTGTGGACAGATACACCAAATTCACACAGGAAGATGTTGAGGAAAATAGCCTTAATATCTTCTAGCCTTTCTGGACTGTGAAATACACATTAAGGAAGACAGAGGCTTTAGCTTTGAAGTTTACTAAAAACTCACACACAGAGGTCAATATTTACATTTTGATTCCCACCACTCATCGGAGCATAAAATGGGATTCATCAGAACCCTACTCCACCGAGCTGAAGAACTAAAACACATCAAGAACGTGTGGCCATCCCAGGTCGGCCTTCATCAAATCTCAAAGAAGGACAGTAAAGGAAGCACCGTTGTCATTCTGTACATTGCAGACATATTGGGAAAGCTCAGGAGGCTCTTCAGCCAACACAACACACGTGCACACTTCAAACCCAAGAATACACTAAGGCAGAAGCTTGTCCACCCCAAGGATAAAACACCCAGACACAAACTGAGCAATGTGATACATGCAGTACAATGCAGTGAGCCATGTGCAGATCTGTACATTGAGGAAACAAAACAACCGCTTCACAAACGCATGGCACAACATAGGAGAACAAACACACCAGGACAAGTTTCAGCAGTCCATCTGCATTTAAAAGACAAAGTCCGCTCTTTTAAAGACAGTAAAATCCACATTTTGGACAGAGAGGACTGCTGGTTTGAAAGAGGGGTCAAGGAAGTCATCTGTGTCTAAACTGAGCAGCCCTCTGGGGGGGGGGGGGGGGGGGGATATGACATCATCTATCCCCAGTTTATAGCACAGTCCTTTCAACACTTCCAAGAAGGCTCCACACCCATTTGCAGCTGATCCTGAGGACACAGATAAACCTCCAGGTGGCCTCAACGACTCTCTAAAAGGATGCAAATGACCAGCTGTCTGCAAGGAGTATCAATCCTTCCATTCCCCACTATGCAGTCAGAACTGGAGAAGCTTTTGGAAAGAGAAGCGAAACATCTTCAAAGAAAAACCAGAAAGACCAGTTGCCGATTAAAAAAACAACAAACCTTTGGGACAACCATGACCTGGAGGACTGAGAATCTCCACAGACAAATTCAGGCACTTGGCAACTGGTGTGTATTTATATGTGGTATATCTATGCATTAATTTCAGTCTAGTGTTTTGTATGAGTTATATTTGTGCGTGTGTGTGTGTGAGAGAGAGAGAGAGAGAGAGAGAAATTATATCTGGTATATCTCTGTGCTTTAATTTCAGTCTATGTGTTTTGTATGAGTTATATTTGTGCATGTGTGTGCGCGCGCGGTGTACTCGCATGGAGGAGTCACATGCAAGCCTTAGTGATCAAGCTTTGATCTTTGGTGTGTTGGGAAGGGCTTAAGAAGGATTTATTTACTTATTTAATACAATTTAGAGGCTGCCATGAAAGCAAGAACAATTAAAGAAAGACGCAGATCATAAGCATCCCAAAGATAAATAAACAAAATATTCTGCTGGAGTTCAACCATCCTTCTGCTCCAAAGCCTGGAAAAACAGTCACATTTTTGTGACTTTTTGAAGATTCCTCAGATGGGGGATGCCCTTTCAGAGAGCAGGCACCTTCCTAAACTCTTCGAAAGTCCAGCTCAGTGTTTCTTGACCTCAGGCAGTTTGTTGCAGGATCCAATCTGGGTCGGGGTCAGAGGTTTAGCCTTCCAAACTTCCACACTCCTGCTGGAGACCACCTTTGGGGAACTTCTCTCTCACCAGAATGGACCGTTCTGTGGGTGGCATTTATGTGGCGCCTGGTTGAGTGTAGCTTTTTAGTTGTTGGTTGGGGTGTTGATGGCTGGCCGTGGTTTCCCCTCCAGAATAGGCCCAAGCACACATCCTGCTAGAGCAGGGATGGAGAACCTTGGCCCTTTTATGTCTGGGGATTCAACTCTCAGAATTCTGGGTGTTGAAGTCCACAAGTCATAAAAGAGCCATGGTCCTCCACCCCTGTATTAGAGAGCAGTTCCCGGAGGATGCGATCCAGCCCAAGCCGAAAAGCTCAGAACACTAAACCTCTGGTCCTGGTGACCCACCCAGATTGGATCCAGCAACATTATCCTGGGACAGACAGACAGACAGACAGACAGACAGACAGACATATATATATATATAATTTGTCTTCACTTTAAGACGTGTGGACCTCAATTCCCAGAATTCCCCAGCCAGCATGTTCACACATGTTTACAATCTTAAAAGAGCTGAGATTGAGGAAACGCCAGTCTAGATAAAGAGCTGTTGTTCTGTGCGTACCTGGCAATGGACTTTGGTCTGGTGCTGTGCTGGGCTTCATGTGATGCAAGCTGATGCTCTGTAGAAAATCAAATCAGCCTTGACTCCTGGCAGTTACCCAGGTAAGTTCGTGTCATTTTCTGGGAAGTTTTTGGAAGTGGTCTGACATTGCCTCTTTTCCTGGGCTGATGGGGGGTGGCGGGGGGGACTGGCTCAAGGTCTCCCAGCTGCCTCTCTTCCTAAGGCAGGACTAGATCTCATAGTCTCCCACTTCCCAACCTGGTGCATTTTCCAAACAGGCTCTCAGAAGCTTCTGCACTTCTAGGCAAATAATTTTTAGGACCAGGCACAATACCCTCAGATTCAGATTCAGAATAGAGCTGGAAGAGACCTTGGAGGTCTTCTAGTCCAGCCCCCTGCTCAAGAAGGAGAATACCATTTCAGACAAATGGCCGACCAGTCTCTTCTTGAAAACCTGCAGGAATGAAGCACCCACAACTTCTGGTGGCCAGCTGTTCCACTGGTTAGCTGTTCTCATTGTTAGGAAATTCCTCCTCAATTCCAGGTTGCTTCTCTCCTTGATTAGTTTCCATCCATTATTTCTTGTCCTGTCCTCAGGTGCTTTGGAGAATAGCTTGACTCCCTCCTCTTTGAGGCAGCCCCTCAAATACTGGGAGACTGCTCTCATGTCACCCTCGTCCTGCTTTTCCCTAGACTGGCCAGACCCACTTCCTGCCACTGTTTGATGTCAGCCTCCTTCTGCATTGGTTCAGAGTAGCTACCTCCAACCCCCACCAATCAAATGCATCTATCCATTGTGACTTGGGAAGAATGGATCAGTTCGTCTTGTGCTACTATATTGAATAGTTTTAAGCCCCTAAAGGGAGTATCATTAACCTTGCTGTATCATCCATAGGAAGACTGGGCTCATCCACACTTACGTCTCACACATGTGGAAGCTGAATGTTGTTACCATGAAAATGAGGCAATTGTTGATGCAAATCTGAACGATGTTGTTTTCTTTCTTAATTATGTTGCGATGTAAAATTGGAATAAAATGGATTGAGTACCTGAGAGAGCAGTAGTGCATGTTAATGAGATTGCAGGAATTGGGTGTGTCTAGTCTAGAAAAAAGAAGAACTAGGGGTGACATGAGGGTTGCCACAAAGAAGAGGGGCTCCAAAGCAACTGAAGCCACAAAAAAGAAGCAATGGATGGAAAATAATCAAGGAGAGAAGCAACTTACTGTAGAACTAAGGAGAAACCTCCTAACAGGTGAGAACCAGTGGAATGCCTTGGCTTCAGAAGTTGTGGGTGCTTCGTCTCTGGAGGCTTTCAAAAAGAGACCAGACGCCCCTTGTTTGAAATGTTATAGGTCTTCTCCTTGAGCAGGGGGTTGGACTAGATGACTTCTAAGGTCCCTTCCAACTTTATTCTATTCTTAATCTTCTTAGATTACCCTAGATACATCCAACGGGACATCTACATCTCTGCTACAGTATCAGAGAAGGTCCTGGTAGTTCTGCCTACATTATAGTTGCAAGAAGATGGTTTTCTGATCTGTCAAAAAGTCTCATTCTGCTGAAGAGATAACAGTATTATTTAGCATCTTATTTCTTTTACTGGACACCAAGACACTGACAGGAAATCCACACAAGAAGTACCTGAGAATGAATAGCTCACTCTTACTAATACATTCACTTCTCACAGTCCTTGACTGTGAAAGGAATGACTTGTAAATCTTTTAAATTTCTCTCTCTTCCTTGATTTTGTCTTAAGCCTTATAATGGAAAAGAAGAACAAAATAAATTCTTCAAGGGGCAAGCTATAACTGATGAAGCATTTCTGTTGCTTTGAGATCCAGTTACTTAGCAACGATTGGCATCTAGTTAGCTCTTTCGGCCAGGTAATCTTTTTTGTTGTGCGTGAGAATCTCCAAGCCCAATTATGCTGAGGATTTCATTGACTCTTGACTCTTGACTCTTGTTCTTGTCGAGAGTTGCCAGGATTCCTGGCTGTGGAGTGGAGGTGAGGTGAGGTGGAACTTGGAGAGGTGAATAGGTGAGAACCTTCCTTGGGGACAGGAAGAAGCAGAACTGTGGAAGGAGACAAGGGTTCAGAGAAGGTCTCAGTACAGTAATTAGGATGGGCAGTGAGTAGGCGGAAGTGAGACAGGAGGAAGTGGGTGAGCAATTTTCAGTGAAGGGGTTTGAATATTTGAGACTAATTCCCACTTCTGGCCCGTTGCTCTCAACTCAAAGACCAGATTAAGTGACTAGATTCTTGGAACCTCTATCTTTCTGTGGTTTCCGAATGCCAGGTTTTCCAGTCATAAATTTTGTGACATTCACAAGCTTGCTGTGGATGAAACCTGGCTTGTATTACTGAAACCCGATTGGGGGAGAAGTCTTCCTCCCTCCGAAGGGTGGCCTTCTTCTAGATTCTGCGTCTTACAGCACTGACAAGACAGCAGAGAGAACCAGAGGGGCAGTTCTCATCTGTTGGCATCAAGGG